ATAATTAGAAACAATGTCAAGTAATAAGTCATCCAGTTTTTTTAAGTCAGACACTATGACTAGATCTGTATTATTCTGACAGATAATCTGTATACACAAATAATCAGGTGTGAGCTAAACCCCAAACAGTATATATAAAGTTCTGAACCAGCCTTAACACATCTTTATTTTTGTACAGAAACAAACAGCAAATAGTGAATGCAAACACCTGTAGCTGGCACAAATAAGTTAGTTTTCCCAGAGGTATGCAAACATAGTCCTATACCATGCACTTTATAGGTAGTTCCTATCTAAATTCTTACAGTTTGCTCCATTGTATTGCTACTCATGGTTCAGGCAAACAACCAACATTTTGAGTCTTCTTAAAATCAAGGAGGAGGCCCCTGTAGAATGTAAGTATGTCTTTGGCATAAGCCTAATTATTTATTAAATAGTTGCCTTGAACATATTAGAGGAAAAAGGAGGGTGGTATCACCTTCCTTGATTAAAGATCCCTTTTTTGCCTTTGTGAAATACCTCCGACAGAGGCTCATGGCTGTTCTTCAAGTTTTCTGATGAGAAAACTCACACTAATCCCCATTTCTATACTTGCAACCAATCTCCTGAGGTACATGATTAACACCTTGCTTAGATCCTGCCACATCTGCCAGTTCTCACTGCTGTAGATCTCTCAGTACATATGAATGTTTCATTGTTCTCCTGCTCAGCCTTTACTTACCGACTGTACTACTCAGGCCTGTGACTGAGCACAGTGGCAAACATTTGCCAAAAAAAAAGAGCATTTTGAGAACATCTCCAAAGAAAATGGTCATGCTTCCACCCTTTTTCTCTCTCCTTGCTCTATCCATACAACAAACTGGGACAGTCTCCTGATTTTCGTTTTCTGCATGAATCAGTAAGAATGGGAGCACTACTGTGGGGAAGCTTGGACAAAGGAGCAAGGTTTGCATTCAGCTTTAAATAAAGGGTGATTGGGGAGTTTTCATTTTTCTTCTTGCCAGTAATTTTTAAGTAGAGTCCTGGTGGTCACCAAGGTGTCAATACAGCAGGTACAGTAAGGGTCTGCTTCATTTATATTCCTATTTATGTTTAAAATGCATTTAAAAATCATTATCACTGTCAACAAATTCTTGTGATGAGAAATACATCAGCAAATCACATACTGGTTAGATATAACACCTTATGTTAGGTGTTCTGGGAACAGTACAAAGTAAGGAAATTTGTTATCAGGTATCCTTTGTCATGCAACATCCTGTTAATGGTACTGGGAGTTAGTCTGAGCAAACACTAGGAGTGTAATGAGGATTATAACAGAGGGGCGCCTCACTGAAGAAGCTGTCTGCCACAAAGAAATCTGATTACATGCATTATCACTGACACTTCTGATTTACAAGTGAAGAGGGAAAATTGCAAAAGACAACATTCTGGTTTCCACACCTGAGTACCCAGAAAACTTGGAGTGTTATAATGTTCTTTGGTATGAATGCCTATTTCATAGTGCACACATCTTTTTTACTTCCTACCGTAATATCATTTACCATTGTAGCACCTCTTGTTTCCAGCCCTCCCCCTAGATTGCTAGTGCGGCACAGGAAAGCTTTCGAGTCACAGGCTTCCTTTTATTCAATGAGGTCATTGTATGTGTTATACCTTGTCTCAAGAGAAAAAAAAAACCAAAACCAACACAGCCTGGTTTGCAACAGGATAATTCAGAGAATGTAATATGACCAGGACAAGTTTGCCATCCCAGTTAGCGTTGTGACACTGACTATCAATAATATCACTGTGATTTTCCCTGCTAAAGATATTTGGGGTTTAATTCCTGTTATTGTTTGGTGGTTTGGGCTTGGAGGTTGGGCTTTTTTGTTTCAGTTCTCTCAGTGGCGTGGAGGGGACAGCTCCCTGGCTAAGGTGAAGCACCCTCTTTTTAAAAACTATTAGTCTTGATTCATTAAAGATTAAGTGTATACACCAAAGTAAGTCCAAAGTTAAATGTAAAATCTCTTAGGTAGTTACAAATAAATCCATGCTTGTTTTGATTATTTTGCACATTTGCTTAAAATGAAAAGCTCTTGGGAAGATCACACGTTTGCAGAGCTGCCTGAGAGAAAATTTATAGCTTGTCAGCTGCATAAAGATATCATCTTACAAAGTATTTTTGGGTGACATGGTAACAACATTAAATAAGATGTTAAACAAAAATCCTGTGCAAGCTATGCCTGTGTTCACTGTGATAATGCAAAAAAGTTTATTTCTCTCTAAATGGAAGAAAGCAAGCACATCATTTGAACATCTGCACAGTGAAATATGCATCCTTTTTCATAATTGTGGAGCAAATCCTGCTCTGGCTGGCCCAGAGGGGGTAAGGAGAAGCATTGCATAGTGCATCTCTCACCACAGGGATCCTGTGGACAGGGTTGGATTCCAACAGGCACACCCCAGAAAGGCACTTCAAGATATGATAAAATACTATAACCCTGTCTGCCTGAATGCCTTATATATGGTATTAGGGATCCTAAAGACACCATGTTCTTATTGTAAACAGTATGCAATTGAAGGTTCATCATATCAAGCAGGGGCTTGCCACAACCTCAGTCTTGCTGTTTCTTAATGTATTATTGTAATACAGTTTTCCTTAAAAAGTTATGAAGAGAGTGCTAATGGAAAAAAAAAACAAACAACAAAACAATCCTAGTTTGTTCAGAAGAACATAAGCTCTAGAACATGGGATTTTCTTGCTGCAGAACTATTCTTGCATCCTACACATTTAGAAAGTTTGAAAGTGTGGTAGGGAAAGCTACTGCCACAGCAGTAGAATCAGTCATCTTTGTATGTATCCTAAACTACACAATTCAGGGACCAATTTCAAATAAATTGACTCCAGTACTTTCAAACAAACATGTCTGTTCCTTTAGTCATCACACTGCAGCCAATTTTCACAATCAATAAATTTCATCCATGAGCTTCCAATAAATGTTCCTTAGAAGTGCGTTACAATGGGAAGCCCTGGAATGTGACCTATCCTAGTAAGTAACCAAAGCAGAATCTTTGCAGCTGCACATCAAAGCAGCTGGAAAACTGCTTATAGCAAGGAATTAGAGTTCATTCAAAAAACTCCAACTAATTTACCCTATCAATTTTCTCCCAGTCATTGACTGTAGAATTCCTCTAGTGCTGCATCCAAAGTTTAGGCTTTGGTGTTGTTGTGAAGGTTTTTTTTGAGGCAGTGATAAATTTCAGTGTATTCCTGGAAAACAGGAAAGAATGTCTTGATTCCAACTACTAAATCTGCCATCCCCTTCTCATTTCCATTTTCATTTTGACGATTTAGTTCCCTTTTACAATCACTGCTCTCTCTTGAAAAGTTCTATTCCACTATTCAGCTTCAACTTTTCAAACTGTGTGTTGTTTTCCAGGGTTGCATATTTCATTTTTCTCCTTAGGAAGGACATGCATTAAGAAACTGCTTTAAGCCGTGGGTATTTTAACTTTTTCCTCCTTTTTGACTGGTGTTTACTATAAGCTCCCAATTTTATTGTCACCTTCCTGATTGCTGTCTAATAATTAGATGGTGAAAAGCAAAAGGGTATCTGGAGTTTCTATCAAGGAGAAAGTACCCCTTGGGAATGAAAAACAACCCATGGCTTCTGCATCTGCTGAGTTCTAGTGGAAATGAATTTGATCTAGTTAGAGGATAGACACTGGGGCTTATTAGTGCCAGAAGCCTTCTGAAGTGTGTACATGCTCATCATAAATCCTCAAACTATTTTAAAATTTGTCTTTGTAGTTTTCTAGTTTGTAACTTTGTTATAACCCTTAATGAAACCACAGCAAAATCCTTCTACTATGCAAAACTTTTTCCAACAGTATTTTTTACAGCACAAACTGACAACCAGCACAAATAAGAATTGGGTGGTGGGGGAATACCTATTTAGGTCAGTATGGCTAAATATGTGGTCTCAGCAGCCTAAGCTTGCATGTGTCAAACCTGTAACCATATTTAAAATACTCTCCCCCAAAAAGGATGGTGAAAACACCATATCCAAGAAAGGAGATACACCTCTATAGATTATCAATACAAATTGAGCAAAAAGATTATAAATTGCGGTCTCTTGTGCTGATGGAGTTAAAAAGCAAGCAAAAAGTGAATCTTGCCCCTAAAACTCTTGGTCTAAGCAAGACACTTTGCCAAGATATTTCCAGTTTATCATGCTTTTACTTCAAGTTTTGACTGCAGTTGTAATTATACTGAGATGTAAATATTGTGATCTGATTTAAGAATGTTAAAGCACTATAAAACTAACTAATTTCAGCAAGTAGACTAAGAAATGCAGCCTTCTCTGCCTTTCAGATCAGTTGCTGAATGCATTAGCTTAGCCCAGGTGCTATAACTACATGATATTACCCATTTGGACAAGTTACAAGGCTAATTGAAAAATATCATTTACTGTTTTGAAGAGCCAACAGATGTTATTTTTGACACCAAAATGATTATATTAGCTACAACATAAACTATGAATAATGTATGCATTATACTGTGTTAGTAGTCTACCAAGATTCACCTAAACAAAGCATAATCTGGGAATAACCTAATATGTCTTCTTTTGTACATATTTGATACAAACAGTACCAGTCTTCCATATTCTAGGATACCCTGAATTCAGACAATGAACAAGAAAAGCAAGCTAGTACCTGAAATCCTGTGTGTCTCTTCCTAAGAGGAGATTCTCTGAGTCCTGGTAGAAGATAGACTAGTCACTGCACTTCCCCAGTTTGTCTTCATGTGTGCACACAAAGACACCTGGTGTATTTGATACGCTATATTTGCACTACCTACAAGAGGACTGGGAAAAATCCAGCACTTCTGGTGCAGCAGAATCCAGCAATTCTCCTGAACAACCAGAATATTAGAATGCTAACAGACAGCTTATCATTGTGATGTCACACGATACCTCCGTGCAAGCCCACTGGCTAACGTATCCATGCACAGCCAACACTGAGCAGTTGTTTCAGTTTCTGTGATGGAAGACTGAATTTAATTCTTTTTTCTATTCAAACTGCAGCTGGCCACCTCTTCAGATTACATGATACTAAAGTATGTTAGGTAAAAATACAAATACATGTCAATTGGATTTTCAGAAATCTTTGATTGATCATAGGTCCCTTTACATAGCCTTAATAGTAATAAGTCCAATTTCACACCAGGCTAAGTTACACAGGTAATGTTTCTTTTATTAAATGCACCCATACCTGTAAATCCTTTTCATATGCCAGGGCTTCAGAATGCCAGTTGTTCAATAAACATAAAGTTAAAAAGGCACTTCCTACTCCAGAGACTTTTGTATAAGATGGGAGAACATGAACAAAAGAGAGTGACAAGACAATAAAAGCTAGCAATATAGGAAGTAGGTACAGTATGTTGACATCCTGATATTTATCCTCTGTTTTGTAGGCATGGCCATAAAAAAGGGGACAAAATGTTTACTAGAATTTGAATGAAAATAGCAGAGTTTTGCTGTTGTGCAAAACCTTCTCCCAAAGCATGAGAAGTGGCATAGAAAAATGTGCGTATTTTTGTTGAGTAATTAACTAAAAAGTCGTGGATCCTACTGTGTTTAGGTTATTGGAGGAACGTTTTAACCATTCAGTACCGTTCAGAGGTGACAGACATTAACAGAGAGGCTGTGAATGGATCTAGGAAGGGGGTTGTTGGTTTGCTTGATGCTGTATAGAAACCAGAAGCATATGACCCCAGAAAGGGATCATATTCTCAAAGTTACTGTCTAGAAGAAAAAATGTTTTAGCAACACAGACATCAACAGAGAGAAGTATCAGGATACATTCATTTGCTACGAAGCACAGATACAGGATCTTAGAAACACAGCTTTTTTCTCTTTCTCTCCTTCCCTATCCTCCTCTACCCCCCCACTGATGTACTGTATTTGTTGAGAAGTAGTGAATTATGGTACTAAGAATCAATCATCACAGTGTGGTTTTGGAAAGCATTTTGTATTCACCAGCTACCTGTTTAAACAGAAGAATCCCCTGGCATCACCACTGGCTTACACACAGATTCACTTACACACACTCCATTTTTAATGAGATGCCCACATCAGCCATATAACATTACTTACAGAGAAGCCTTACTGATTTTCTCCACTGTTTTTTAAGAAGACAAGGCTTCTGTTTCCCAAGGTTTCTGTAAATCCCACAGGTTGAGATAAGAACAGTCCAGTAACTAAAGTATAATACAAAATCACTACTGCTACCATCAATAATAATAACGATAAGGGAAATAGCAAGGGGAAAGAATATAAAGCTAAAAGGGGAAAGGAAAAAGAAAACAAAAACCACAAATGTTGCACAATACATTTGATCACCGCCCGTAGACTGATACCCAGCCTGACGCAGGCCTTCCCAGTAACTCCCCCCCAGTTTATATATTGGGCATGACATGCTGTGCTTTGGAATACCCCTTTAGCTAGTTTGGGCCAGGTGTCCTATCTCTGCTCCCTCCCGGCTTCTTGTGCCTCTCATCCCTGGCAGAGCTTGAGACTGAAAAGTCCTTGATCAAACATTACTTAGCAGCAATTGAAAACATTGGTGTATTATCAGCGTTGTTCCCAGACTAAAGTCGAAAACATAGCCTTGCACCAGTTACTAAGAAGGAGAAAAATAACTGCTACAGCTGAACCCAGGACAGGGTACTACAATTTCTCTTTTGTTATTTTATAACCCAAGGCACAGAAGAACATCTGCTGCCTTTCACTGTATTCCTCTGCTGGCTGTAAGGAGTAATTTTCATGCTTGGTGTAAGACCTTCATTAGGAGAGATCCACCTTAGAGACCTCTCTCTGGTTTGGAAAAAGGTTAGGTTATTTCTTTTGTTATATCTCTGACCTCATGAAGAAACTGCATTTGGCCTTTCCTGTCAGCTGAAAGCCTACCTTGAGTTTCATCTTCCAAAGAAGCTGATCTCCATATGTTTATGCTTCTGAATAACAGTTACGTTATGAGCATACACAGGACTGATTCTGGTTTATAAAGGCCTTGAAATTCCCACAGTATTAGAATTGTGCGAATGGCTGAAACCATTTGTACCCCATTCGTGCTATGGGAACCATTAGACAGTAAAATATCTTTCTGCAACAGATATGCAGTAAGATCTGGGGGCAAGAATGAATAGCTGAGCTGTAGCCAAATGGATCTCCCAGGCTAATTCATCCATTGCATTTAAAATTAGTATTCTGTCTCAGTGGTGATGGTGCAGTGGTAAAGAAAAAGCTGTATGGGTACATCCTATTTGCAGTTACATGGATAGAATGGAAACTGCTGTCATAATTCTTCTGTACATATCTGCCAACATAGTCTGAGGCATAATTCCCCCAGGTTTCAATTGCTGGTAGAGAAGGGCTGAAAGTGTTAAGCTATTTTATAATTTACATCAGTAGTTTGGGGCATTAACCCTGTTTGATCTCCATCAGCACAGATGCAATTTGTCAGCCATCAGATCTTCAGAGAACTCCCCTGTTACTTTTTGATAGTCCTCAGGAAAAGTTCTTTTTTATTATATTCCTTTACTGAAAACATGAGTAAGAGAACTGCTTTAAACATTTTCCATTTCCAGGAGAATTTCTAACAAAGCCTGTGTTAGAATCTCCATGGCTTTAGCAATTTGAACTTAACAGGCAGACTAATTGCTCAAGTATTTGACTCTCTCAACTCAAAAGAGATGGCTACCTTTAATTTAATTTATGAACTGTGCACATACCCTTAATTCTCTACAGGAATTTTGTAAAAGATAAGAAGTGGAATAATATGTCTTAAAGCTCTCATAATTTTACTTCTCTTTTCCTCTACATATTTCTGAAAAGCCTGACTAGATAAAGGGGAAATGAGGAGAACTTGTGAAGAAACAGAAGGGACCATCAACATGTATGTAGAATCACAGAATGGTTAGTTTTGGAAAGGACCTTAAGATCATCAAGTTCCAACCCCCCTGCCATGGGCAGGGACACCTGACACTAAACCATCTCACGCAAGGCTTCGTCCAACCTGGCCTTGAACACTGCCAGGGATGGAGCATTCACAACTTCCCTGGGCGACCCATTCCAGTGCCTCACCACCCTCACAGTAAAGAACTTCTTCCTTGTATCCAAAATCTGCATATTTGGATATGCGCAGAAGGAAATTAAAATCATCATCAATATTCATTAACCTGAATGTAGAGATTTTTATTTTTTTTTTACCCTACTAACCTTTATTTAGGGATTTTGCAGGCAAATTCCAGTTTGGAGAATAGAGCATAAGAGTTTACAGAGTAAGAAGGGACTTTCTAAGCTAGAGCAAGACCTTGTACAGGAAAGACCATATAGGCTTTGTCTATAGTCTGAAGACTTCTGTTCAGAGTGGTGCAACTTTGCATTAGGTTCATCACTTGAGAAATAGAGAACAGTGGTTGTGTCTGCATCCCATGCCTAGAGCAGAATTTAAATGGGAGGATAATACTTTTCTTAAAAATACAGTTGAAGAACTTACAAATGATCAAATGAGGTTCTGGACTTCATATAACCTGAATGGGGTCTCCTTTGCGGTGACCACAGTCTAATTTCATCCACAGTAAAATCTGAAATAATTTTGTTACTTCAAACTCTGCTTTTTTTTTTGAGAGGTAAAATATATTGCACATCTGTAAATTAATCATGAGGGATGAAAGGAATGTTTTCCTGTAGCTTACATGGGAAGCTGAGATAATGATAAATGTAATCACTTCCCAACTCTGTTGAATAGTGGTCTTCAGTTTAACAGATCCAGAGTTTTCTAGCTACACTGTGCTTGCAGCCCCCATGAATGGAACAGCTCACAATACAAATTGGTAATTTCTTGGGTAACAACTCTGTGATGTTTCAGAGAACACGTTTGTCATGTTAATAAATTCCTCCCACACACGATGGCCATAACGTATATCTTCAAGTGTAAGACAAGAGTTTGAATGTAAGGAACAAAAGGAACCCGCTTAAGCTTGAAGGGAATGTGGAGGCAGTATCCATCAAGACCTTGTAAGCATTATATTACTTGTTATTATCTTATTTTAACACTTTAAATTGATGTTAGAATCACCATTTCTTCTCCCTCTCTCTGTCATCAGTCAAGTTACAAGTGAACATGCTCACATCCTGTAATTAATATGTTGCCTCTATAGGGAAAATTTAAGAGAATACCAATGTTTGTGTAACAATTTGTAGTGCAAGAAAATGCCTACAAGTGAACTTAATCTGCCCCTCTGTCATTAGATACTTGGAATCACATCTCATAATTCTAATTTTCTCCCAAAATACAACTTATATTCTTCTGTATTTTTCCAGGATTTTTTTTTGCAAGGGGGAATAGGGTGCCAAGAGTTCAAAACATAAGGCAGGATGGATTCAAGTACACCATGCAAGACATCTAATCTTGTAACATTATATAAAACAGAAATATTCATCTGTGTTTTGATACAGATAACATTTCCCATTAATTCCCACAGAAAGTACTGTTTGCTTAAATATAGTCATATCAAATGCATATTCCTTCATTTTATATATGTCAGACTGAAGAATATTTAAAGCAGTTTTTACTGTTATCATTAAGATTAAAGGTATTTTCCTTTTAGCATGTGTTTCATGTACTTTGACATGATCTGGGAAAGTAACCAGAACAAAAGAACTAAACAGATTTATTTACACAAGCAATATGCTGCCAACAAGTGTTGAACGTGAAGGCCAGAAGTCAAGTTCCAGTCTTCTGAGTCAAATCCACAATAGAAAACAATGTCATCACTTCACATTTTCTGGAAATGTTGCCTCTCTTTTTTGCTTCCCATTTGCACTCCGTCAAGCTTCTTCACACCATAACGAACTGTTAGCTACCTCAGATTATTCACTATTATTTGGCTAGATATTTTTGAAGCCTCATTAGCAAAGGTTATGTCATTTGTGAAGATTTAGTCCTGGCAAGGCTTGGTCCATTAGAAAGGACTGTTATATAGTAATTTTGAAAGTTATATTTGCTATACTTCCACACTTGTTAAACTGTGTTTAGAGTAGGTATTTTCTTGATATGAGAAGAAAACATAACTACTAACAGACATTCACTCTGTGAGCAGTGAAACCAATCAAATCCAGCTGTCTGGAATTTGAGCACTTGTGGCATCTGAACACTTACTGTCACAAATACAAATATACAAAAGGCCCCCAAACCTCAGACATGACTACCTTCAATCCTTTGGTATAAACTGCGCAGTGGTGTGAAAGCTGACAACTTCAACAGCAGCTGAGAGAGTATAGAATCTCATAAAACTATTTTGGCTGGAAAGCCAAGCAGTTAGTATCTAATCTAGATTATTACACCATTGTAGTATGAATCAGGATTTAAGAACAGCAATAATATTTAGAAATCTGCATATTAAGTTAGTATTAAGTGCTTTCTAGCAAGTATGAAAACAATATGTTAAACGTTAGCAATGAGATAGAATATGTTCACATAAAATACTTAATATATTCAATATATTCTGTTTGTATCACTAGCTACAGACAGCTGTATAATGTGATACGCACAGGATAAAAATAAGGGAGAACTATGAAAACGCCTGCTATCTTTAACATGCTACACTTCTACAGCCCACTGCAGAGAAAGCTTAAAGCCTAAAGTTTACTTAGATTTATTTTGCAGAGATTCTAGGAGCTCCTAAGAGGACCTCCAGATGATGTCAAAATACCTTTAATTTATCTTGAAATGCATAAATGAGCTGTGCTTTAATTGTTGCTGAATGTTTTCAACCATTGTTTCTTTCCTTGCTGGCATTACAGCCCCTTCACAGAACCTGAGCTTAGCATGCAACAGCAGTTAAACTTGTCTTGACCCATGGAAGGCACCAGAAGAACTGAATACACCAGCCAATTTTTATTTCTTTCTAGTCAGCTTGTGAAAAAAGTCAGTATGCAAAGCATGGGTAGGTCAAAGCCCATTCACACATACAGCAATGATACGTTGATGCACAGGGATAGAAGTTTGCACAGGAAGTTGCAATTACAGTGTTATGTATCAGAGAAAGGTCACACAGAGCAGAAGTCCCTGCCATTGGTTGGTCAATTCTAAGAAATTAGCTCATTAATAGATGGTGGAACCATATGTACTTTCTTCTTCCTCTTTCCTTTCAAGAGGAACATAGAATCATAGAACAGCTAGGGTTGGAAAGGACCTTAAGATCACCTAGTTCCAACCACCCTCCCATGGGCAGGGACACCTCAAACTAAACCATCTCACCCAAGGATTCTTCCAACCTGGCCTTGAACACCGCCAGGGATGGAGCATTCACAGCCTCCTTGGGCAACCCATTCCAGTGCCTCATAACCCTAACAGAAAAGAATTTCCTCTTTATATCCAATCTAAACTTCCCCTGTTTAAGTTTTAACCTCTTACCCCTTGTCCTGTCACTACAGTCTCTAATGAAGAGTCCCTCCCCAGCATCCCTATAGGCCCCCTTCAGATACTGGAAGGCTGCTATGAGGTCTCCACGCAGCCTACCCTTCTCTGGCCTGAACAGCCCCAACTTTACAGGAGGTGCTCCAGTCCCTGTGGCCCTCCTCTAGGCTTGTTCCAAGACTTTCGTGCCCTTTTTATGTTGAGGACACCAGAACTGCCCACAATACTCCAAGTGAGGTCTCACAAGAGCAGAGTGGAGGGGCAGGATCATCTCCTTCGACCTGCTGGTCACGCTCCTTTTGATGCAGCCCAGGATACAGTTGGCTTTCTGGGCTGTGAGCGCACACTGAAGCTGGCTCATGTTCAGTTTCTCATCGACCAACACCCCCAAGTCCTTCTCCGCAGGGCTGCTCTGAATCTCTTCTCTGCTCAGCCTGTAGCTGTGCCTGGGATTGCTCCTACCCAGGTGTAGGACCTTGCACTTGTCATGGTTAAACTTCATGAGGTTGGCATCAGCCCACCTCACAAGCACGTCAAGGTCCCTCTGGATGGCATTCCTTCCCTCCATCAACCAAACCACACAGCTTGGTGTCATCGGCAAACTTGCTGAGGGCGCACTCAATCCCACTGTCCATGTCAGCGATGAAGATGTTGAACAAGACCGGTCCCAACACTGATCCCTGAGGGACACCACTTGTTACTGGTCTCCAGCCGGACATTGAGCCATTGACCACAACTCTTTGTGTGCGGCCATCCAGCCAGTTCTTTATCCACTGAGTGGTCCATCCATCAAATTGATGTCTTTCCAATTTAGAGACAAGGATGTCATGTAGGACAGTGTCGAACGCTTTACACAAGTCCAGGTAGATGACATCAACTGCTCTACCCCTGTCCATCAGTTCTGTAGCCCCATCATAGAAGGCCACCAAATTGGTCAGGCAGGATTTCCCCTTAGTGAAGCCACGCTGGCTGTCACCAAGCACCTTGTTGATTTTCATGTGCGTTAGCATGCCTTCCAGGAGAATCTGCTCCAAGATTTTGCCAGGCACAGAGGTGAAACTGGTGTGTTATTCCCTGGGTCACCCATTTTCCCCTTCTTGAAAATGGGGGTTATATTTCCCTTTATCCAGTTGTCGGGAACTTCACCTGACTGCCATGATTTCTCAAATATGATGGCCAGTGGCTTAGCAGCTTCATTCTCCATCTGCAACTTTGTTCACCAGCTACATTGTGTAGTAACGTTATTATGTAGTAACAGAGGTAATCTGGGCATTGAGATCACTCTTTAGTGAGCATGGCCATTAACTCAAGCTGCATCATGCTTTAACATAAATTCTATCCCAAATCACAGCAAAAGCTCTGTCAATCCCACTTACCCTCTTGTCTGAATAGATTCTGCTCTGTACATTTTGCCTTCAGAACTTTACAATTATTATTTTAGCCACAATTATTATTTATTATTTCTCCTCAGCATATGATCCAAGGAACATGAGTAAAGTTTGGTTAAAAGAAGGGTTATTTATATGATGTCTAATGTGCAATGTAACAATGCATAAAAATATATACTAAGGGGAATGTAACATTGCATAGTTATATACTATTATTAGCCTCTGTAGTAGCATATGATTTCTAATGCGCATGTGTATAACTTTGACAAGGTATCTAGAATTAATATCCTAGTATGTGCAGAAATAAAAACATCAAAAGTGAAGTCACTCCAAACATGCTTTCTTAGCAACTGATAGATCTCCCTTTATTTCTCATTTTGCAGAACAGCAGAATATGCCTCTCTAATACATGTATTTATTAATATTTCCTCTTGAACTCCCATGCGCAGGAGGGAGTTTTCCAAAGGAAGGCCTTCCAAATATTGTTCCACGTCAACTTGTGAGCCTGAAGCAAACTCGCTGACATGCCAGTATCTTTCAAGGGTCACATATCTATTCCCCGATATATGAGCACCTTGAACTCAATGTTATGTAGTCCAAATTGCAGGGATGACTATATCATGATGCAATTCTGTGATTTAGTAGGATTGCATAGAGATGTATTTGGTTTGTGGGACTCAGCAATATTTTCATCTCTATTTTGAAAGTGTACTGGGGAAAGACAACTCTCCAGAAACTACCCAATAAGCTGCATTTCTTTTTTCCCCCACTGCTAGTATTCTAGCAGACATTAGTTTTGAAAACCAAAAACTCAGCATTCCATATACTATTGCTTCAAAGGCAGGCATTCTGCTCTTTTTCTTGTACTTTCATTTTTAATAGCATTGCTGTCTTCTAAATACATGGTATACTCTGAAACAAGTGTAGTAGGTATCCCTTCTCCTGTTTCTACCCCCATATTAACTTACTAAGTTACATAGATAAGGACAGAGTATAATCACAGTACAGACGTTGGATTCTAACCTTTCATATATACAGCAATTAGAGATCACATCAATATGCAATAAAATAATCTCCTGAAGTATTCAGTAACACCCTTGCAGTCCTACCAAGGTCAGTGAACATGCAGGAAAACAGCACTTGACCTGTAATAAAAATGTCTCCACTAGGCACAGACAAACTTCCAAAAGCCACTCAGTTTTCTTCAAATATTTTTAACAGCTGCCAATTACTTGGTTTCTGCTTCCAGATTTAGTACTTGTATTAGTAAAACAGTTTTGAAAATGTTATCCCAATCTAATAAAATAAATAAATAAAAAGAATTTCTGAGCTGAAAATTTCCCTCTTCAAATGTACCACTGATATTCATTACAACATTACCTGTTGTTTGGGGAATGGGTGGCAATTTTAGATACATGGCAATTATATATACCTTTTTGTAGGTGATACTTAGAGTCTTATTGAACATTTTATACTTCCAGTTTTCAGTAGAAACATTTCTGTAAGATCTGCTGGTTTTCCAGAAGGTTTGCAGATACTGTCCAAAACCTTCCGTACTGCTAAGTGGTAGAAAAGGCAGAGAAAATTATTATATTGGAAAAGAGTTAAAAGGCGTGATTTATGGGAAGAAAGTAAGAACTATTAATCTTTAATTTCATACAGCAATACCTATAAGCATATAGATTCTTGCAAAACTTTTTGCCTCTAACTTGAGTTGTAAACATAGTAGAAACTGCAGTCAGTGGGAAAGGACTAACATTATCCCAGTTTTACTTCTCACATCAGTAGTATCTGGTATCTGGTTTTGACCAGACATGAATAAAACCAGGAGCACAGGGATCAGAATGTCAGATTTTATTTCCTTTGTATTCACTTTAATTTTTTTTTAATTAGGTCACTGTTACAGCAGCAGCAGCTAAAAACATTGTTGAGATTAAAGTCAGGAAAAAAGTGTGTATGTGCATATTTGTATTTGTGAGAAACTTTAATTGGGTAATATGAAACAGCTGAGAGAAGAATTTCCGGGTGAGGTACACATTCCTATCATCAGTGGTTAAAATCTCAGTGGTGCTTTCCTCTGCTGAATTCAAAACATTGCCATTAAGACCCCAGTGTTCTTCACCATGCACTTTATGCCACACACAGATAGGGGTTTTGCATGCTGTACTGGCCAGCTCAAATCCTCTGCACAAGCATTATGGTATTAGCCTGTTTGTTCATGTATTATTTGTTCAATTTCTACTAATGCTGCATGAGTACAGAGAAGGAAGAGGACAAGGAAATACTACCCATAGTGGGTACATCTGGAGTCAGACATTTGTAGAGAAACTACAAAAATAATTAAGCTTTTTATATGAAAAATATACTTTCCTATTCTTGTGGCAAAACCGGCATCAAATGTAGTGGCTTTCCTCAGTCATAGAAACACAGAACTTCGGTTCAGTCCCCTGCTTAAAACAAGTACAAGTAGATCTGGTGGAACAGAGCTTCAAGGACAAAGATCCCATGACTTCTCTAGTCATCTGTTGCAGTGTTTGATCATCCTCACAGTGAAAGCAATTTTCTTCATGGAATCGTAGAATAGTGTGGGTTATAAGGACCTTAAAGATCATATAATTGTAATTTCCTGTGTTCCAGTTTGCATTCATGGTCTCTCATCTGTAGCTGCACACTCCCTGGGAAGAATCACCCTCTATCTTTTCTCTACATTTTCATTAAATAAATGCAGAGAGCAGTAAGGTTTCCCCCTCATCTTCTCTTCTTGAGGTTCAAACAACTCAGTTCTCTCAGCCTGTCCTTGAGTATCATGTACTTCAAACCCTCGGTTTTCTTAGAGGCTTTTTGCTGAATTAACTGTAGTATGTTCAATGTCTTTCTGGTACTGGAGAGCCATTAAAAGGTTACTGCCACTCATGTACCAAACAGATACATCTGAGTTAAATGACTGTGAAAGCTTTGAAATTCTTTCCAAACTAGCAGTAGAATGTTTTACAAGTGGATAATAAACCGTCATACTTTTGCATTTTATCCCCTCCATCTTTCACAAAGCTTTTACACACTACAAGGTACATGACTTAATATATATAAATATAAAAGGCTTGCCAAACTTCTGTTTTCTGAACTTTTTCTGCTGGAATTAGGAACTGGAAACTAGGACACTTCCTGCGTAAGCTTTACCTTCACTCACAGCACAAAGAAATATTAACAAGGACGTTGGGACTTTGAATAGTGTCATAGCTTTGCTGTCCTAGATTTAAAAAGGAAATAGCAATGCAGTGTCTGCTACATTGAGATTGACTCCTCGGAGCCAGAGGGAAATCTGATGAAAAGCAACATTTTTATTTTTTATTTTTTTTAATGACAGAACAGGTTTCTAAATTTAAACCCCCAAAATACAGATCTTGCAAAGATCTTAAAGTGACACCTTGTCCCATTTTTAGAAAGAATGATTTTTTTAAAGTGCTGGTCATATATAGAAAACCAACAGCACAGGGATTACATCACCTCAAAAATGCCATGAGAGGATAATAAAAGATTCTGTGCTTAAAAAAAAACAACAAACAACAAAAAAACTAGGTGGTGTAAACATCAGCCTTCTCTTGGTTAATATTGATAAAAGACAAACAAAACAAACTTTCGTTTGCTCATAGCATATCTCATGCAAAGCATGGTTCCAGTGGGGCATGTGCAAATGGAGGGAGCAGAGGCAAGGCACTGGCCTCAAGTGGGCTCGTGTGCTGGGGCAAGCACTGCTTCCTTCCAAGAAAACACTGCATAGCTCCCTGTGTAATACTGCACCTGCATCTGTCTAATACTAGCAGAATGCCTTACGTTTTCTCCAGTTGGTTTCCTGAAGCACTCAGAGCTCCATAGCTCAAACAGCCAGGTCACGTGCAATAAATAAATCAGGAGCCTGCTGAAATGTGCACTCAGCTAATAACATAGCTTTCAAACAGGTTTGGGTTTATTTTAAACCAAATGATACCTGGAGACAAAATGGGCATTGAACACCTTAAATCCCCTATGAAATTGTTGACTAGATTACTCAGATACATTAGCCTGCATTATAGGCACAGTATCTCTGACCTCATTTAAAAGCTACTGCGAAAACAGAGACACAAAGATGGCAGTGAAAAACATATTTAAAATTAGACACTGAGGTATTCAGACATCATGTGCTAAATACTGTTTTATTCACTGTCAGGGGAGAGTGCTGGAATCAGGAAGTTCCATAAAACCTGAAAATGACAGTGGCTTATATAGTGAGAAGGAAGTGAGAGCTAATCCAGCTAGGTCCTCAGTCTGTCTGTAGGCAACACAATTCTTTATGTTTGTTTTGTATGATTCTTCAAAGAGTTTAACCACCAGTGGGTAAGATTTTCAGCCCCCTGCAAATAGCTGAGGCTTCTTGTTAGCGGTGATGAGTTAGAGACCTCCTGTAAACTGTACACATAAAACCTACAGCTCTCATGGAATCATCTGACCTTTGTTGAAAGTCATACCAGTGTAAACAAAAGTGTTGTCTTTCCATAACTAGTACTTGCATAACTGGGGCAAGCCCCTGAACAGATGAATTTAAGTACTTTTGCAAAACACAGGGAAGACTACAGCTGGAAGTGATCTGACTCATAAAGAATCTCTGTCCATTTATTCTGCTTTCATTTATGTTTGAGAAAATAATCAGAAATGTTGTCACTTCCACTGTTATGTGTAGTGGTTCAAGAACATCAACCAGCTCTCCTGCTTTTCTTTCTCCCTAAAAGAGTAATTTTTTTCATTTACCGTGGTATTGCCAGTCATCCTATCACATTCAAAACTCACTTATAGCAGTTGCCGTTGTTTTCTGCAGCTCAAATTTTGTGATTCTTTACATTGTTATTTCCTACCCTTAACTTCTGGGAAATAAGATGTTAGTGGCATAGCCAGTATTTCAGACTTTTGTTATGGTTGCTGATCAATACAATTGGTGGAGCTCTTATATAATACCATCATGTGAAATTTATTGGGAAAAGGGCTTTCATCTGAAATGCTTTAAGATAACTTGGAGGAAAAAAAGCCCCACACTGCAATTTAATATGAGGAGGAAAAAAATGCAATCTATGCATAAAACTTGAAATTACTTTTATCTCTGAAATATTACCAGTGCCAATATTATTAGTAGCTTTCTGAAGGACATTGTAAAACCTGAAACTCCATAACAACCCAACTAGAAAAACAACAAAAATGAGAGCAGGGAAAGTGTTGTTTTTTTGTTGTTGTTGTTTTTCTTTTTTTTTTTTTTTTTAGGAGAGCTATTAATAGAGAAGGAATGCGCTGTTTGAACCTTCCTGTTCTTATTTTTCAACTAAATATCTGTGGGGTGCACAGATATCTGTCTTCTTGACGCTGTTCTGTTGAAATGGTTCTTTGGTCTTGCCAAGTTCACCACACCACTTTGGAACCTTAGTCCATTATACCTCGGAATAAGCTGAAAAAGGCTTAGAAATAAAAATACAGAAATTAATTCAAAAGAGTCAAAGGAATAAATGTGCAGGGAAGAATCTGTTCCTTTTCAATACAACATTTAGGAGATAAAATAAATACAGCACAATTTCAATCATTCAGACACCAAGAAAAAAGATCAACTATATTTGAAACAAGTGATTTATTATGGTTTACACAGTCCATGTGTACACCCACATCCTCCTACAGGGATGTGGATACCAATGTCACATGGACCTTCACCTACTACAATCTGGGAAGGAGGCCAAGAACAACCTTTTCATTGGCCTTTGATGGCTGTGCTTTCTATCAAGCCAAGGAAAATTGCAAAAGGACACTCAAAAAGTGAATGTATTTCTGTGTTTAAAAAAATTGACACTGATTATTTTTGTAAACAAAGTCTCAAAGAAAATCCCTGATAAGATCCATGACAAGCGATATTCACATAATTTATGCATACAAAATGTATCCAGTATCTATGTTCTGCACACCTTTATTGCTATACCATAAAATTTTTTAAGATACTATGAAAAACATAATATGGAGCCTTTGCATTAGTATTCAGTGTTCAATTTCTGAAGTTTTTTATATTTTCTCTCTCCTGCCGGTTAGTAAATATGCTACATTTCCTCCTAACACTGGAACTTCTTTGGTGAAAGAGAGAGAGCACATCTTAGCAACTGTGTCAGAAATTGGCCTGATTCACCAGCTGGCTCTGAAGAATCCCTCTGGCATTCTAGCATGGTTAAGGTGTAGGATGTCAGGATCACACTTATAGCATTTAATATTTAGAATGATTATTATTTATATACTGCTTCAAATTATTGGAAAAATCTATTTAGATATAACAGAGAACATAAAGGCTATCTGTTCCCTTATGAATGGGTAGTCAGAGTAGAAGTGAAATACCTTAGATCAGTTGACATTTCTGTTTTGGCAACTGATTCATGCCCCAAAAATGAAATCTCCCAAAATAGAGGAAGTAGGATAGAGCATGCAAGATTTGTGCCCAGTCTGCCATGTCTAAGTCTACACAGCTGCATAATACTAACTGCATAGCTTATGAGAACATAACAGTGCTTAATTAAACCTTAGCTAACACTTTCCACAGTCAAAAACTTTACAAAATTAATCTTTATTATCTGTAAGTTATTGGCATATCATAATTTTACGAATTGAAATACAATTAGTTGATTTTCTTGACACAAATGACTACAGAGTTGTAAGACATCAGGATAGAAAATTGACTGCGGTGGTTTATACTCAAAGCCAGAGACGCTTAATACAGCCTGTAGTGCTTATGTTCCACTAGACCTCTCCCTATCTTCTTACTCCCCAAAAGGCTTTTAGTACATATGGCAACAGCTTCCCATGTTGTTTATAAATGGCAAAATGAACATGACTTGACCATGCAACTTAAATTCAATCAAGAAGGCCCATCATTTTGAAGTTACAGCTACATTTAAGGAATTAAATTTGTTCACTAACTAATCAACAGTATTGATGTTCTTCATGGTTACTAATGCTCAAAGACAAAAACATAAATATTATGATCATCAAGGGATATTTTCTTCATGGATCCATGACAGTGTTGCTGTTTCATGTAGTATTCAGTACCTCGAAGGGAGAAGCTTGGTACTTCTCTGAGTCAGTCATAAGGGTACAAATTAATTTACTCTTGGAGGAAATAAACTAGAAGCTTGCAAAAGTATTGCAGAGCAGTTTATCATATTTCTGTTATGACATCAAGTGGCAAACAATAAAAATCAATTCAGAGTGGAAATCTCCACTACCCAGGATCAGATATTTTTTTACTGCTATATCTTTGCAAAGTGATTCCTGAATGTTTTTGCACACCTTTATTACAAATCCTATGGTTATTACAGTGCAGCAGCATTCTGCACATGAACCTGAATTTTATTTTCTGTTTTTTTTCTTAAGATACTTGGTATTAAAGGGCTTTTACTAAGTCTCAATTAGCTGGATTGGTAGTAAATTTTATCTCAGAAAAATGGTGCAAGCAAAGTATTCAAACCTCCAGACACCTATTGCAGTGCATTGGAGAGAGGCCAGTTTTCACTCACAATGTTCTTTAACTAAATTGAATCCAGATGTTTACATGGAATAAAATATTAACAAATGTGTCCCAAGGGCAGCCAATTATTATTGAATGCTTTAATAACCTAAACCAAAAATTCTTTAAGGTGACAATTAGCCTTTAGCCAGAAAGATACTTTTGTTTATTTTACTTTATTTTTTTAATGATGAAGGGTGTCTTATCTTAATTTAATTCCAGCTTGTCATCAACAAAATACTTATCTGGGATAATTCTGAAAAAGCTGTACAACAAACCATTTGTGAAAGTAGTAATAAGTTAGTTCTAAACATATGGTTCCAATTTTGGTTTTCTTTTTTCTTTTTTTCCTATAAACCTAAGATACATCTATTTTTATTTTTGTAACACAAATCATATATCTTTGACAGAGAGATCTAGACATTAAAGTTGTATTTACATTTTAAAACTGCTTCAATAGCCCAACATCTTTTGCCCATAACAATATAGTACTATTCAACAGTGTTCCAGTTCTTGAAGATTAAATTCATAGAAAGGCTATTATTTAACAGGAATTTCCTTGAAAGACATTTCTTCTTTACATGCCTTGGGAAAATTACTTGACACTGTCTAAAGAAACATATTGCTTATTTGCGTCTACAGCGCATACACATGCAAATCTAAATTCTAGATTTCATAGAAATCAATGTGAAGCTGACCTGAGGGAACTCAATAGTATGTCAAGAAACAAATATCCACTTTCAATATATTCAAGCATACAGGAAGGTAGTGCAAGTTTCTTATTTACATTTCAACTTCCTTGTTGAGTAATTTGGCCTAGTTTACTTTTTGGGGGACTGTAGTGGAAAGACAAGGGATAATGGGTTAAAATTTAAACAGGGAAAGTTTAGACTGGATATAAGGAAGACGTTCTTTACTGTGAAGTTGGTGAGGCACTGGAATGGGTTGCCCAAGGAAGTTGTGAATGCTCCATCCCTGGCTGTGAGTTCAAGGCCAGGTTGGACAGAGCCTTGGGCGAAATGGTCTAGTGTGAGGCAGGGGGATTGGAACTAGGTGACCTTAAGGTCCTTTCCAACCCCAACTATTCTATGATTCTATGATTTGAAACTTGCAATATGCAAGAAATAAACTTATGGTCCATTTTAGGACTAAGGAGTATTTTGATCATTAAAAACGCATTCTACATTTTCTTAGGTTTTAAACATGTCCCAGAGACTTCAAAAGAAAGTATTTTTGTGACCAGGTGTCCTGGGTTCAGCAGTAGCAATCATTTTTCTCCTTCTTAGTAGCTTGTACAGTGCTGTAACTTTTTGACTTTCAGCCTGGGAACAGCTCTGATAACACCGATGGGTTTAGTTGCTGCTTGGTAATGTTTAGTCTGACCAAGGACTTTGTGAATCTCATGCTCTGCCGGGGAGGAGGCAGAGACAGGACACCTGACCCAAACTAACCAAAGAGGTATTCCATACCACAGCACGTCATGCCCACTGTATAAACTGGAGTCAGTTACTTGGAAGGTCTAGATCCATTCTCAGTCAAGCTGGGCATTGGTCAGTGGGTGGTGATTGGTTGTATTCTCTTCCCTTGTTATTCCCCTTATCATTATTATTATTGGTGGCAGCAGTAGTGGTTTTGTGTTATACCTTAGTTACTGGACTGTTCTTATCTCAACCCGTGGGAGTTACATTCTTTTGATTCTCCTTACCGGGGGGGGGGGGGGGGTGGGTGGGGTGGGGGGGTGGGGGTGGAGTGTGGGGAGAGGAAGGGGGGGAGTGAGAGAGACTGCGTGATTCTGAGTTATGGCTGGGCTTAATCCACGACACCAGGAAAAGTTTACGTTGTGCCTGTTAAAATGCAATATATTGATAGAAAAGCTGAAATTCTATGTAAGACATAGACATTTCTAGAACATATTTATATATAAATACTCTGAGTAATATTAAGTTCAAAGAATGCTCAAGAGCAACAGATACACTGGAGAGTTTAACAATCCTATTTTATACTTCCCTGAAACAAGAGATGGAAATACCTGGGGCATGTTAAAAGCTTTCAGTGCATTTGACATGTGAATAGAAAATGGGACATGCAAAAATGCATCAGCTGAGACTCTTAAGTCACAGAGAAATACTTGTGGGACTTGCCCACTAGATATGCAAAGACCAGGCCAACACAAACACAGATGGTGAAGCCGTTTTTGGACCCTATCTGGTGTCAAAAGCAGGAGAAGGTATCAAATGAATTTTGCAACCTAAAAGTACGCGAGGAATCTAGATTCCTCAATCTGCTTTACAACAACAGTTAAGCACACTAAGACAACAATACAAGAAGTGCACTTTCTGGCCTTGCTTTTAAGTTTGCTACTGAGGATTTCTTTCAGAACTGTACTGGTATAACAAGCTGCCAAGCCTCATGCCCGTAGATGTGCATATGGCTACTACCTTCTCTTCTTTACTTGAATTTCGTATCAGTTACCGAAATGAGATACCAAGCATGTCAATTGAAAGTCCAGCATTCACTGATGTCACAGAGTGTATTCTTCCCTCTTCTATGTACACTGGGCTGAAAATATTCCATCTTTATACCATTTGGAAAACAAGATTTAGGCCTACATTTAAGATAGACTCTTCTTACTTACTAGTTGACAGAAAGAAAAGCAGTAGCTTCCAGGAAAGTACTCAGACATTACAGAGATAACTGTAGTACACAAACCTATAAAAACTGGATTACAGTTCACTCCTTCCAGGCCTCTCTTCTGCCTTGAGGATCCTAGCCTGTTAGATTAAGGTGGTCATGAGCTCAGGATCCCAATGTATTTCCATGGGGTTAGCTAGTTCTCTTAGATCTGTTGCAAAACTGTAGTCAGAGACATATAACACCACTTCTTTTAAATTGAATCTATTCTGCACTTCCTAATTATCAAATCTTGTTTCAGATAACATACCTTTTAAAAAAAGAAACAGGATCTTTCCTATAATATTTTCTTAATAGTTTCACATTACAATGCAATCAGAAGAAGGGAGCTTAGAGAATGAGGTGGCCATGCCAAGCCTCGGTGTTTAATCGATCTTCATTCATATTCAGTTTCAGAAAATTATTTATAGCATCTTTGAAATGTTTCACTTCGGAACTTAAATAATGGGCTAAGAATTGCAAAGAAGTAGCATACTAACTATACTTACGGTGTGCAAGTGCTATGGAATAAAAGTAACAGGAATGTAGCATAAACATACCTGCACTTTCACATATGAATAATTTTTACAGCTACTCAGAACTGATCTGAAAATATGATAAGTAATAAGAAGGGAAAAGCAGCCAATTTCTGACTTTGGTAATAATGGCACTTATATCTATATGAAAGACAAAAAGTAGTTGAAATCAAAATGTTTACTGATGAAGACATCTCTGCTTTTGCTGAGTCACATCATATAGCATTTATAACTTATGTTGATTCTGGATCTGTCTATATTTATTCAGGTGCTTTGGTAGGAAAAAGAGCATAATCTTTTTAGGCCAACATATCTTATCCTGACCATTAATTCATGGCACCTTTAATAATGAAGGAGTCAAGTAACAAGAGATCATAATTTAGACTTTTCGGTATAGGCAGGCATTTGCAGTCTTTAAAGAAAATGAGCACAAGTAGTCAAGTCACTTTAAATTAATCTATAAGGAACAGACAGTAAACAAAATTCCCAACCATGTCAGAGACTCTTGATCCCACTAAAGATCTCCATTCTTTCTTCCCCTCTTGAGCTCCATGGCTCTACAGGTGCAAGTAAATAAGATCAGCCAGAACCTAGTCTCTGACTCAGGACAAGTGGTACTCAGCCAGCCTACATCTGGGAGGGCTGAATTTTCATTTTTTGCACTACCTCCCCCTGGCCTGTGCTACCCCCGTGCTGTCTGGGTAAGCACTCTCTGGCAGGCCTGAACTGCCCCTGCGAGCATGCTAATTGTTCAACAGCATGGATGACTAAGGGCTGGCATGTGAACCCGTGCCTTAGCCCAGCTTAGTTTGCTAGCACAGACTAGAAAAATAAATTTTACTTCCCCCTGTAGCCTATTTTTTCCATATTTCAGGAAACTTTCCGTCAGACCAAACAACTCCTGCGACAGAACTTTACTTCTGTGAAATGGCTGGGAAAAGTCATAGCACCACTCAAGTTAGTATTGTATTTGAAACATGCTTGAAGCTGTAAACGTCTATATTCCTTCTAGCTGGAGTTCGTTTTGGGTTATTGTTTTGCTTAATACTTCTTGGTACTGTCACATAGGAAAAATATCTGGAGGTTAGACCACCCAGCAGTATTTTTGTTACTACACAGAAAACAGGAAAGGGAAGCAAAGAAGTTAGCAAAAAGGAGATGGCAGGT